CCCCCCCCCCCCCCCCCCCCCCCCCCCCCCCCCCCCACCCCCCCCCCCCCCCCCCCCCAAATAAGTAAATAAATACTGATAAAAAACAAAAAACAATAGAAGAGTTCATACATTGATAAATCTGCCTTTTCAATTGATAAATTGCTAACATTTGCAAACCCTAATCTCACCACAAAGAAGGGAGAAAAGAAAAGAGATGATAAATCTCAAATTCCTCATTGTAGAACAGATTTGTATACATGGTCTCATTAACTTCAACAGCAACAACATATCCAGCGAAATCCCACAAGTGGGGTCGTCTAAGGAGGGTAGAGTGTACGCAGACCTTACCTCGTGGAGGTAGAGACATTCTCATTAACTTATCCAAAGCAAATGAACTTCAGCTACTTCAATGCTTTTATTAACAAGACCTCAGAAACTTATCCTAGAAATTGAAGTGATCTAACCTATTTTTGTATATGATCCCCTCACAAGAAGTGCTAATACATTCCCCATCCCCCACCCCCACCTCTTAGCTCTCCAACAAGGAGGTTTTGGTGGTGCCTGTATTGTCATAGTTTGTGCTGCTGCTTACCTATCTATTTCTGACTTCTTCAACTTCAAAAAGGTTCCATCCCACTGAAATTTTTGAAGTTAAATTTTATTAGCAAAAGTAGCATAAGAAGGGGACAGGTACTCATCTGGAGCTTAGGAAGTCAAGTAAAGTACCAGTCATATACAATCTTCATATAACCCCCAAAAGCTAAAATACTTGGACAGTGTATTTTAGTCTATGCACAGCTGCAGACTCATCTTCAAACACCTAAAATTCCCTCCTTCCCACACAGCCCACAGAATACATGCTGGCACAGTGATCCACAGAACACACTGTTCTTTATTCTGTTTTAAGAAAGTTCAGAATAGGACCCCCAGAAAGTTAGTGTGTAACTGGAAATTCAACCTTAGTTCAGGGGTGTACTAATGCCTTTTCCCTTTAATTGTATCTCTTTAATTAATTGAAGTTTGAACTCCTTATTTTTGTTCTTTTTAATATGGTAAACTGCAGTCCCCAAATGCGCTACTCAGGAGCCCAGTAATGGCCCTTTCTCACTTGCTCCCTTGGTTAATTAAATCCCAAATTAGAGGTGCAGGGTCTTTACCACTAGGTAATGCTCCCTTGTCTACCATATCCCAAATCCTTTGCAATACTTGTACGCTTTCCCTTTGAGTTGCACTTAACATTTCCAAATACTTGCAATCCATGTGATAATAGACCATATTAACATAGGTAAATCATGCAAATCACATTCCATGAAAAATTACACAATAAACACCTTCAAAGATGCATGAATGCAAAATAATGTCTAGGAGGAAGATTTGAAGGAGCAGGGTCCTAGTGACAGCAAGAAAGTCAAGAAAGTAAACAAATACATACTTGGATATATGATTCAGGGTTCAAATTACAGCGCTTTATGAAGGCATCTACAGCTGCAGCATCTTGGCCAGGGAGAATATGAACAACATCACCAACCTCATACTCAATACTCTGAGATCATAAAGGAAATCATCAAA